TTCTCAGATCAAATGGTTTCTCCGTCTCTTCGTCATCCTGTACACAAATACAATTTGAAAAATGTCGTGTCATAAATATTAATCTGATAAAATTAATAGACATTATCATGAAAATAAGGAATTTGAAGTAATAACATGCTAAGAGCTTTTCCAATATCCTTTATTACAATTTTTCATTATGTCTGATACCCATACAGCACAAAATATCCTACATATCCTTAGGACATCTTGGGAAGATCTCGATGTCCTCAGAACATCCTTGGGACACCGAAATATCCTCGATGTCCTGAGGATATTCTGAGGATGTTTTGTGCTGTATGGGTAAACATAATTTATTAAAAACTCAAATTAATCTGTAATTAGAAAAAAAATAATAATCTTATATAACTTTGTAGCGTGTCAAAACTATGTATTATATTTTACAAATTATATGTAGTATATATGTATTATATGTAGTATATATGTATATATGTATATATGTATTATATGTAGTATATTTTACAAATATGAATAATTAAGTAGAGTCACGAATTACTTACATGGACATATAAAACAGGTATTATTTCTCGTGACGTAGTTCTACATGGTACTGCCAAATCATTACCAACAATTGCTCTTAGGTGAGCAGAGATGTCCGCTTCCACAAAGAAATGTGTACTAGCTGTAATAAATTCATTCAATGTTAAGATTTATACACAACAAACGAGACACAAACATAAATGTTTTTTATTATACTGTAAAAAAATAAAATATTTGTTTTGATCTTACATTTTACATAAACATATATCCAGTTCACTTCGGGATTGTCGTAAGAATTTGGAATAATGTCAACGTTATAGTTTGCACAACCGTGCCAGCCTGTATCGCCGAAAACAGTATTTAGTCGTTGAAAAACGAATTTGTAAATGCCATTTTCTTCAGTATCAATCATTGTTGGAGTTGAAGTATTAATCTGTTAAAATATAATACAAGTATTCAGTTCATAAAATACCTACATTTGCATGTTAAAATAAGAATATTATAACTTTTGTCTCATTTTTATTTTTATTTTATAAACATAAATAAATTTCTGTACAGCAAAAATTCAATATTTCTTCTTAAAACAAATATCTCAAGTTTTATATGTAAAATAAATGTACTGCATGTCATATAAAATATATCTAATTATTTCAAAGTATAGTACAAAATTTATAAAAATAAAAGTAACAATATTTATAAAAAAAGAAAATAAACATATATTTATGTAGACAACATGAAAATTTATTCTAATAAATTTTGTTGTACATACCTCATCTTTAATAGTATTTGAATAAATAAATTTAATTCGCGTGGAATTACATGTAATTTCCAAATTTTTTCCTTTGTATGTCACTTTTTCTTGACTTGATGAAATAATTGGCTTACTACTTTCCGACACTGGAAAAAAATCGTTTATTCATATAATTCCAAAGCGATTTAGGTATCATGAATTATTAGAATTTGTTATAGAAATAAATGTTCAAAATTTGAGCAATTATAGTTTTTATTTTAAATTTTATATGCATTAAATATTTTTATTGTTTATCAATACATCAATACATCTATTTTTAAATTGTGATTTATCCTGCAATGAAATAAAAATATCACAATATGATAATATAATAAGAAATGTACTTCTATAGACCTATAAATGCCTGCGCACTTAACTGCAACTGTAAATAAATGCCTGAGCATAAAACAGAAATCAGATCAACAATTGCAAAAGGAGTGTCGCCGCGTTAACCACAATGTCCTGCGGATGATTGGATTTATCTGGATCTCTTTGTCATTTTTTTGCAATAAAAGATGCAAAGTACCGGTGTTGCGTAAATGCGATTGTGGTTCAGAAGGAAATCCTTTTTTTTCTCTTGATAAAAATATGTATACCGATATTATCAACCAAGATACTTATTGTAGAAGCTCTAGAAAATATGATTAAAAAATGCAAACCAAGTTTTACAGTTTGAAGGGATATAATAATTTCTGCTTCAACGATAGATTATGGGAACTTATTCTTTATTGTACTTTAAAATGTAAAATTTGCTAATAGTAATTAATTTTATCTCTCTAGATATTTTGTATAACACTTATTACATATTATCGTCGAATATACCCAGACAGCATAGCACATCCAAAAGACGTCCAGAGGATATCCCAACGATAGGACGTCCTCTGGGTATCCTTTGGATGTATTTGAACATGTGTGCTGTCTGGGTACTTACTACGAAAAATGAGTGCAGCCAAACATAATTCATTTCAAATGCAGTCGATCGTCGACATGTCGTTTTGTATAATGTAAACTTTTCTGAAATGACATGATATTCTGAAATCATACAAATGAGTGCAAAATGAAATACGATGAGATGCAATAATTACACAAATTATTAGCCATTCTTAATAAAAAGATGAAAAGAATGTTTCGGTCACATTTCTAGTTCTCTTTAGCGAAAAAAAAAAGAAGAAGTAGTAATTACATAGAGGATATAGATAAAAAATATATAAACACGGTTAAACTCAAATAATAATGAAATCAACTGAATTACCCGACCGCACGCGCAGCATTGACCAGAGCAAGATGTCTGTATTTCATTAATGATTTGAGTTCAATCGTTTTTATATTTTTCTTTTTTTTTTATTCTACATACAATTTCAATCTTTTTCTTTTTTCTTTGTTTATTTTCTCAAGCATCATACTTGAAAAGTATGTATATATATCGTGCGTAAGCAAATGCATTAGACTAATTACCTTTCCAGAGCGAAAAAACGATGATCAACACTAAAACGAAGAAGCGCGTATTGAAGAACATTTTTATTTCTTATACATTCAAATATTTGCCCACGGAAATTATTATTCAATGAATATTTCTAAACGCGAACGCGCACGAGATCAGGTCTTGGAGTCCTTCTTCAACATATTTCTACTTCTACTTCTAGTTTGATATCAACTGAGAGCCTTGCTCTAGCTTTGCTTCCATCCTGTCGGTTTGCATGCACCTTATCAAGAACGACGTCATCTCTTCACATCAGGGTTGGGCATTTACCCGTAAACTATAATAGTCTACGCGTAAACAATGTAAACTATATGTAACATGTCATTTATGTCAACAATAAGTAATTTATAGAATATGGTTTGTCGAAGACTTTCTTTATATTTCGTTTTTTATGTTACATGCTTTAAACATAACTACACAATTTTATTTTACCGCGATAAATGCCACGAAAAATCAAGAAAAGATTTGAAAGTGAACTAGATTTTATACCAGTAAAAAAGGAAAATAAATATTATAACGTAATAAAATATATAAATTTAATTAAAAACAAAATGTTACTTTTATTCAAACCTACTCTGAAATGTAATAAAAATATAACACATTATAATGTCATTATTACACGCACACATGCACTAACATCACATATTAGATACAGATACATTAACTATTTTATACAGTACAATTACTCTTTTATTTTTCTTTAATTTGATAAAATAATCACTCTTTGTATTCTAACATCTAATTTATTAAGTTTACATAGTTTACATTGTCTATATGAAAAAAATTCATGTAAACATAATGTAGACAACATGTAACCAATTCATGTAGACGTAATTTTGGAATTACACAACCCTGCTTCACATAATAGGCTTTCTGATAAGGAAAGATCTTTATCTTTGGTTAATTCTTTATAGTTTTACATAAAACTAAAGATCAAATGTTTTACTGTATCATAAACTATACAAGCGTATCTGATATAGACATTTATTCATAAAACGTAAATGTTCAGACATAGAATTCTGAATAGATTTCAGAAAATTAGACATAATCACATAAAATCATTTTTAAGATATTGTTAAAAGATAACAGCAATATAAATATCCAATCCTTATTTATATTTTTAACAATAAATATAATATTAAGTAATTAAGAGAATAAAATTCCAATAATAAAAATAATAAATTTAGAGTTATTTTTAATATTTACAATAATTACTTATAATTCAGCTACCGGGGAAAAATAGTTCAATATAATGAGTGTAGTAATATTGATTAAAATCATACATTCTGCGACGTTTAGAAAATATGTACGATATACATATATATGTATATCGTATGCACGCGATACGTTTTATTTATGTAGACGTCGTATATTTATGATACGTATGTATATTATATGTATATATCAATAGATAGTAAATTTTTATAAAATTTATAAACTCAGCCTACTACGCCTGATAATTAGCGAAATAAATATCGCGTTTGAATTTGCGACAGTACTATTAAACATTAACTATCTGTTGGAATCGGTTAACAAAAGATGATAAGACTTGTGAAAGAAGGAGAAGAAGCCGTAATTACCGGAACACCAGATTTAGATGGCTTGAAACACATGTTGCAAGTGATACCTTTTCACACTACAAATAACTCATCTTTTACATAAATGCACACGTTACATTATACACATGCCAGGCAAAGATAAATCGCCTGTTAAATACAATCAAAAAAATTGTCATATATATTAAACCTTTCAAAAAAACCTGTCGTATATATTAAAACCTTTTAAAAAAACCTGTATATATTAAAATTTAAAAAAAAACTATTATATATACTTTCTACAAAATATATATATATATATATATATATGGTGAAATATAGTATATAATATAGTTAATTATATATACGACAGCTTTTTTTGAAAGATATTTTTTTAAATATATACGACAGCTTTATGTACAAGAGTTTTATAGAAATAATGTACAACTTTTTTTATAGTTCTTTAGTCCAACTTGGCGTCATTTCTTGATATATTTTTTTGTAGATATATTTGATATATATATATACACACACATTTTTTTTTCAATTTAAGTATTCGGTCCTTCTGAACTTCAATCTGCCAGCTGGCAGCTTTGGGTAGAAATATGATTCACTACTTTAAAAATATTATCTAGTTTGTAAATAATTCAGAATAGTAAATAATTTGAAGCAAATCTAATCATAAATACAAATATATTTATTGCCTATGATTGTTCGTATAAAAAAAATCTGAGTTTTCCATGAAATTAGTTAACAGAGCACACTTAATATACATTATTGAGATCCCGTTGACAATAATGCTAAAAGCGCGCTAGTAGCTCCTACGGAGAGTATATAATTAATTGCGGGTGTAAATGTTTTCAAAATATAAAAGGAAGATACGATAACGAATGCCAAGAAAAGAGCGTTGTTGTAGAAAATGGAGAATGTTGTTGCTTCGTAATCAGCTACTTCATTCTTCTTCCATAAAATCCTAAATAACAAAAAATTAATCTATTATAATTATCTATTGATATATAATTACATATTTTATAAAAAATATAACAATTTTAGAATAAGAGTAGCTATCTATGTCAAAGTTCCACGCTGTGTAACATGTGGTATTACGTATTACTAACTGATGGATTGTTTATATTTCAGAAAAGAATATAAAGTTAGCGTTACCTTTCATCCTTTTCCTTCTTACTCATCTTCTTGTCTTCTGCAAGCTTGCGACTTATTTCCTTTGTTACAGCATCTTCCCTTTTTACAGCGATCTGTGTAAATATATATATATGCAACTTGTGTATAAAATATTCTCTCTTGTTATATTGTCTCTTAAAATTTATGTCCCTTAAACAAGTTGGTAATAAAAAATCAGTAGACAGAGTCTACTGGCTATTTTGCAAATTACAAAAGATATTTTATTTTTGTCACGCATATAATTGAACAATTCTGCAGTAATTTAATGAAATGTCATTCTTTTTGATATACATATGACATACCTTATGCTTGAGGATAAACTTGGTGTTTTTATATGCTAGTGCAAGAGCATATGTGCTTGCCAATGTAACCAATATAAAAGAAATAAAATTGGAATACAGATCGATCAAGTGTATTCTCCAAAAGAGCCCTGAAACAGACACATTGTAACATCATCAATGAAAAAGAAAGATTTCCTTCTTGTTAATTTTGCGATAAATACTAAAGATTAAATCCAAATGAATGAAAGAACATAAACATATTGTCTTTAAAGGAGATATCTTTACGTACTTATTGCCTCATTTATCTTAAAATAAAATAAAACGTATCATCAATTCTTAAATAATAGGAATAATATATGTAAATACAAAGTCATATAAGAATACGATTGTGCAAGAATTGCCTAGAATTTGACTGCTATGTAATAAAGATCAATTTTTAAGGTGCGACTATCAAACTTCAGTTAGCTATATTTCAAATCAGATGTGTGATAATAACAATGTAATAAAACCAATGTAAAATTTTATAATAGAAATCTTGATGGGCAAAATAACACAAAAAAATAATTAAAAACAATTTTTGTTTCAAAAATTTTTGCACTCACAGATGGGTATAGCCGAAACGATAAAAGCATTGCCGTAGAACAGTGCTGAAGATTTCGTCGAGACGTTTCTGGAGAAATCTTGTAGGAGTAATTCCTCTTCTTTGGTAAATGCCTTAGATTTTCCAGACATTTTCAATAATTTTTTTAATAGTAATCGAATAACCAAACAACCACTCGTTCTATCGTCGCCACGAGATATTACGAGAATGGAGAGTGGATCAACGATGAGAGGAACGAGTGGATAATACGCATGTGTGGAAAAGAGATGGTGTGGCAATGCTTGGCGATACTGTATGACGTGTCCAATAAAACGTCATTGTCGATATAGAAGGCAGCGACACACATTATCCAGCGGCGACGAGTCGAACCTTATTCGAACCACCGAAGTGCGGCAACCGGCAACATTCTCGAAAAATTGTTCGAATACCAACTTCAAGTTATCATTATGTATATTAAATTCCATCCGGCAAAAATACACCGCGTTATTTGCTCCAGCGAGTATTTCTATTGTCCAGATTTGTGCTACATAAATTGTTCGTCGTTTTATTTACGTGATGCTTGCGCAAATTATTTTTTATATGGACAATGTGAACTCTTTGATTATATTATAAAAATTGACAATTTAATTATTAAATAGTTTAAATTTTAATTTAGAAATTATGGAGGTAATTAAAAAGTTGCAATAAATAATGATTTTGCGTCAAATATTCATTATATTACGTAACAAATTGCTAAGTTGATGGTTGATAGATGAACTGTTAACTTATTTTATATTATTTTGATAATAAAAATACTTCATATTGTATATTGTACATAAACTTATATTTATGAAAGCATAAAATATACTTTTGTAAAATTAATAAAATGCAACCGTTTTACGCATCAAGTATAATTGCATAAAATGTACAAGCTGTTGTGATTTCTGGAAAAAAATTTTAGAAATGTAGTTTGAATGAAATACATTTTTTACTTCGCACATTTATAACAAAAGATTTAAAAATATATAATAAAGAAAATTAATCGACCGAGGTATTACATTATATTAAGGAGATATCATTATTGTTATTTGTTAGCCGATTATCCAGTTAGCATTAATTAATTAGAGATATACATATAATGCCTAGAAGCTATTGAAATTTGTTTTTCTATAATTTCTTGTAAATTTCCTAACTGGAAATTTTGTCCGCTGTAATAAAACTGTCATTAAAAAACTTAAGTATTACCTAATCAATTTTATCGACATCATTATTGTAAAACAAAAATCATAGAAACATTACCATAACAATGATAAGGGTATTACTGCAACAACATCGTTAAAAACTCATTTGTGTGTTTGAGAGTTATAAGACAAAACTGTGTATTAGTCTTTAATTTTTATTTAAAAAAAAAACCGAGATCTAGAGCACGGCAAAACTTATGTTGATTCGCGACCTCAATGTTAAATTCTAATTAATAATTCATAATGTGAACAATACCCAGTAAGAAATAGTAACATAACATTAATGTTATAATTTCCCATTCAACAATATAATTGTTATGTACAAGGCATGTTATATTGCAGTTACATTGTTAAGTGGAAAATTATAACATAACGTTATGTTACTGTTAGCTTGTGTTTACTGAGTAGCGATATTTGTTCCGATAGAATCTATGAAGAAAGTGACGCAATCCGATTTAAATTTCGTAAATCCTATTTCACATGTTTATATGATGAGAATGAATTATCCCCGCCACACACAGTGTACAAGGCAATGTATGAGGCAGTGTTCACGTAATCGATAGGCAGACCGGAAAGTTCTTCATGAAAAGTCAGTATCGTAAAAGCTATTGCACGATTCGGAGTGATCGACTTCCGATCCGAAACACGAACACGTGAGAGCTGTTTATTTAACGCGCAATCGAGAGGGTGAGTGTGATAAAGTACAGAAAGAATAATTTTCTCTCACGATATCTATAGCTATTAGGTGAAATAGAAATTTTAATTAAAACTGAAAATAACTAAATTCAAAAAAAGTTAAATAGTTATTCTCTATTAGTTTTTTGTATATTGTTTTTTATTAGTGATATAAAATTTAAAACTTTTACACAAAAAATAGCAAAAATCTATTATTTTTAGATAAGTTGTACAAAACAGTACGAGTTATATTCTTTATGTTTTGATTACGATTCTATAAAAATAAAAATTTTTTAAAATAATATAGCAAATCACAAAAATTTGTGATTTTTGTACATTAATTATAATATATTTTGCTGTTTGACATTGATGTTTGTGATTCTTATGGCTTTTTTTATTGCTGCTTTTTCTTCAGAAACATTTATTTTTAAAGAAAGGATAAAACTCATTCTGTTTCGTATACACACAATTTATCCAAAAATTTTATTACAATCTCTCTCTCTCTC